AACTGCATAGAAATAAAATTATCTTTCTAGAAATGTCCATGGTCTCAACCTCTTTTCACATTCTACTGAAGATGATTATCAAAATGATGATTTAAAACTATATCATCTAGATCTTTCACTCAGAATCTATGTGTAGGATTTCCTCACTATTCATGAAAATAGTTATAAGAACATTGATGAGTCCTCTTTCACTTATTTCAGGAAAATAAACTGAGCAAATCTACCCTGATTTAAGCATGAGTAATCAGCATAAGAATTTAAATCCCTTCAAATGACTTTGTGATACAGGAGAGAAAGAAAATGTGCCTTTATTTCAAAGATTAACTGTAAGAAATATATTTATTATAGATAGCATCTCCTTTTTACAGTAAAGGAAATTCAACAAATCATATAAAGTGAGAAACGAAAGACAACTGGTACAAATAAGAAACTAGTGTAAGAAAACAAATAATGCCAATTAATAAAATCAATGCTAAAATCCATAAGGAAAACAGTCCACACTAAAAAACGTCCAAGTGCTTATATTAACAACAGGTTTTGTAGTAAAAGAACAAGAGACTGAAATTGACCTGAGAAAGGTCAACAGATACCAAACCACAGAAACCTAACATATGAATCATGGTATGTTCTGAAGGAAACAAGAGATGTCATAGCAACACTCAAAGATACATTTTAAGGAAACTCTTCTTCCAAATAAATACTTCAATCTTTCATTTGGATGATCAACCAGACAATATAAAGTTGAAATGCATAGCAGGAATTAGATATTTATCATTGAATTTTTTGGATTTCAACTAAAGAAAGAATCCTATGAATACTGTAGTGGTCAGTATTATTTTTCACAATTGCTAACTACTTGCTTCCTTCAGCACAGGGATCATCCTGCTTCACTTACATGATCAACAGCACAGCAATAGAATTGATTCATCAGTCAGAGCAACATTGATCTTATGGAATCTTCTAGAAGAAGCCCATATTACAAATAACGATTGTCTCCTCAGCGTAGGCCAGAATGGGAAGACGTGGAAAGCAGGCTTCAAATAAGATGTAGCCTCAGAAGAACTATAAAACACAGCCACCAACATTTAGTAGGAGAAATAATTGTTGTTAGAAACCATTGAGTTTCCAAGGGTATCCTACAGTGTAATATGAACATGAGACCATACAAACAAGTCAGAAAAGTGAGTTACCTGCCCAAGACGAATACCATGTTGGCCTCAGACTTCTCCCTCCAAAACATTAGATGTAAGTTCTATTTGATTCCATTTATGGTAGATGGACTCATGTCATCAGTGTCTGCAAGGAGTAAATATGACAGTAACAGCTCTATATCTACCTAAAATCTAAATATTAATATTATCACAAAATGATCAACTAGGTAAGAAGTCAGACAGTATACTACTAATAAAAAGTTATTAGACAGTGTTTACCAACTGAGTAATGCACCAATGTTCAGAGCTCTCAAATTAGGAAAGTTGAGATGAATGAATTGACAAGGTCTCACTAGTAATTCAGGCTGGCCTTCAACTCACTAAGTAGTTCAAGCTGGCCTCAAACATACTGTGATCCTCCTGCCTCAGTCTGTGGAGTGCTGGGATTATGTGTATGCCGGGTATATGCCATCAAGCCCAATGGGAAGTCATTTATATAGAGAATTGGAATAATTTATAATAAAATTTGGTAACAAATATTACAAATTATAAAATTTATTTTAAAACAAGATATATAACAAAAGAAAGTTATATAAAAATTACAAAATAAAACAGAAATCTAGATAACACCAACACGTATAAGACTGGACGTTTCCAGATTACTAAAATGTTGATGCCTATCATATATAAAGCATCCTGCTTAAAAATGATAACATTTTTGAACAGTCAGATTATTATTGGTGAAATACAAATGAGACATAACTGCATAGAAAGATATTCTCTGTCATTTTGGACAAAAATTCTTGAAGAGTCTTTCATTTGAATTTAAAAAGTTGACTTCTACTCTTTGAGCAACTGGGAGCCATTAGGAGTTTAAGGAAAGATCACATTCAGAATGGAGAATAAACCAAAGGCCAAATGGAAACCAGAAACAAATAATCTCCAAAGGTATTACAAAACTGCAGTTGAATGCTAAGATGCTGTCAACCAGGGATCGATAAGCCATGTCTTGTCATTCTGACTAGCCAGGTATCATTTGGCATAGCTGTTTTTGGTCAGGTGCAGATTCTGAACAGAGCAATTATCTCACCATTCCTGTGATTCTTGTCCATCCTTACTTGATTCTTTTGGCTCAAACTGCATCATGCCCATAACGAAGCATGGAAGACTTTGTTCTTTCTCTCTTTTTGTCCAGCCTTGTTTTCCTTTAAAGCTTGATGCTGACATCCATACATCAGTATAGGTCAGCACATGGGAAACAATGTGCACGTTATGGATTTTAACTGATGACATTTAGAAAATCTAAAGAAAGAGGTTCTTTATCTATCAAGAGAACAAATACATTTAACAATAAATATATAGGTGGAAGCCTTTTTTAGATAATTGAGTATTTCCAATATATTAATGTAAAATTAATATCCACACAGTTTTATTAAGACAACTGTAGCAATCCACTATAGCTACTCATTGCAAATTTGAGATACCTTTGAAAGTTCAAGTTGGTAGAGTCAAGTATATGAAATGCTTTTTGGGAATTGTTTGCCATCTAAACCTAAGTATTATTTTCTGCTTGGCTGATACAATCTTGATTAGTTGAAACAAAGGAAATTTCTTCTTGTCACCAAGAGGAAGAAGGTAATTATAGATACAGTTTAGAAGTATGTTTAATTTTATACTCAGGGTAAGCAATGTTTCAGTAACCTGTACCAATCAACAACAATTACTTAACAGAAACATTGGCTGAATGAAAGTTGTAGGCAGTGATAACAATCCAAAACTCTAGAAATGTCATACTAAGAACAAATAATTACAGATGGAAATTATCATATTTAATTCTTGTGGTGATTTCAAAAGCAAACTATGTAGAGAGAAAAATTCTAAGAGAATTCATATATGGGACGAGATGGTAGACAGAAAGGTCTAACTTTCATGGGTCTTAGGATAAGAAGCTTGGAAGACAGAGTACAGGAAGACAAAACATCCACTAAATATCTTAAGTACATTGATATTAATTGATTTGTTTACATGAACTTTCAAATCACATTAGGGAAACACAGAGAAGAAGTGAAGCAAAAGCCTTTGCTGTAGTCCTTCTCAGCGCCTTACTATGTCTTGTAAAACTTGAAGCAAGGCGCATGGTGTGTAGTTGATTCTATGTTTTGAATACAAAGCTGTTTCTAGGATCATTCACTACTACTGCTTGTTTTAGGCAGTACTTTTTCCAGTGAAAAGTAGCACATTAAAGTAAGGATTGATTTTGTATGCTTGACAATGCTTACTTTGCTAATCAGTTTCTTATGGCAAGTTATTGGGATACAGGCCAAGAGACTCTAATCCAGCAGGCCCTGTTTGAGTTTGCAGATCTGGAATTATATCTGGCACCTCAGGTGATTTGAGTACGGAGCCAGTACCTTCCCTGGATCCATCTGGGCCAGCAGCACTTCTGATGCAGTGGTTCTCAATATTGGTGGTATGTTAGAATCATCCAGAGAGCCTTTAAAAACTCCAGCAATCAGGCCATGCCTCAAACCAATTAAATCCAAATCTCTGGGGTTGCATCAGTATTTCCTTTAAGCTCTTTACATAAAACCACGGATGAGAACTAGTGCCCCTAAAGATTTGATGTGCAAAGCCTTCAGCTTCTTTGGATTCTCTGGTTTTTAAAAATACTTCATAAGATCTGTAGCTAAGGCTCCAGTAAAAAAGAACCCACCTTTGGTTTAATTAGTTTATCAAAGAAAGCCACCCAGAGACTCATTCTCCAGGGAGAATGGGTCCTTTGGAAAGTTGTATCAAGACATTTTCTGTATAGTACAAAAAGAAAATCCTGAATGGAAACAAAACGGAACTAATGCAAAACTTTGCACTGAGGGAGAGAACCAATGTAGGGAGAGAAAGAGTCCAAAGAGTCTCCTTTTTCAAGGAAACCTTTATTCTTTAAATTTTTAACATTTATGTCTTCATATCCCTAATTTCTTAAAATAACAAAAAATTGGCTAACATAAATTTTACAAAAATTTGATAACCTCAAACCTGAATTCCACTAATAATTTTTTCTTAGGTTTACCTAAACGATATTTCTGTTTAGAAATATCAAGCTTGCTAGGAAGAAAACTTACTTATGACACAATAAGGTGCTAGAGTTTGGAATTCTCTTCCTCTCTGCCTTCTCTTTTCTTTCTTCTTTGGTCCCTTCACTGTCCTCTACTGGCATGGTCAAATAGATAATTGCTGCATTTAATTTAGAAATTTCAAAAGGTCTTTTTAAAAAGTCTTGATTACTTTCTCATTATTTCTTTTTTCTTTTTCACTTTGATTTTAGCATGCTTCTGTGGTTTTTCTAAACTATAAAGGAATAGTGAGTATGTTTCAGTAAGGACACAGAACATTGTGTATGATCTCATTTAACCTTAATAATGGTCCATTAATATGGGATTATCTTTATTTCACACATGAGAAAGCTGCCTCAGATTAAATTTCTTGAGAAAATTTTCTTTGTAATGGAGCCACAGTAAAACATTTGACCTTCAAACTGCTGAACTGCAGTTTCCACTGTGTATTTTGCTTCCATACCAACAGGGCCAATGATACAACTCATTGAATTAGCATCATTATATGCTTGTGTTCCATTTTATACTTAAGTTAAAAATCTAAACTTACTCTTGATAATCTCTTGTTAAAATACTAAGCCTTTCTGTAATCAATCACCTTGAAAGAATGGAGTTGAAATACTGTCTAATATTAGCATAAATGCTACTGTCTAGTAAGGTAAAAATATAGAACTTTAATTAAACTCATAGTTTGTCTAAGAAGCCAATATTTAAATCTTATGTGAAACACATTTTGTAGGTATCTCGACATCAATCTACTGAGAACGGTCAAGAAGAAAATTCACAGGGAAGTTCCTTTAAAGACTGTCTTGCAAGGTTCTTCAGCTGGATAATGGGAATAAGCCACTGTGAACACCTTCAATTAAGGCAATAAACGTATGTGCGCTCAAGCGCACTGGTGTGGGAGTTGGGTTGCAAAGCTAAGGCAAATACAGAAAAATATGTCCTTCTGTGCAGGCTTCATTCTAACCAAAAAGAATCTAGAAACTAAAGAGCCTGATTGTTGTTATTGTTATTCTTAATATCAACCTTTCAAATATATTTCATTTATATCCAATGTGAATTTAGTATTGCTTAAATAAATAACCCTAATAATGGCTCATTAAAGTTTGCTTATAGCTGCAGTTCTGAACACTTTTCTCTAAACTACTTATTTTTTTATTTTGTTCTATTTTTAAAAGAGAAATGATGAATGGCAGATTTTATCAAGTGGCAAATCATCAAATTTTTGTATCACAAATTGATAGTTTTGTATAAGTAACATATTTTTGCTATAAAGAGAATACATTTTCAATAATTACTCATACAATAGTAAATTAGAGATTCTCACATAGAATTTATCACATTCAAAACAGGCATGCTAATAGACATTAAACTTTACTAAATTTAAAAATCTAAAAACACCTTTAAGAAACAAAATACTTGTTTTTCTATAGTATCCCTGCACTCAAGGACTAGACTCAGTAGTTTGCTACCAGTTTGCTGTGGATTTGAGTGAACTTTCCTTTATGGAACATGTTTTAGTCTTTATCTACCTGGGTCCTGGCTCTGACATCTCCATCGTAAGCCTCAGAGTGTGCAATGGAGGAAAGCACTAGGTGCTGAAAAATTCAGCTGTGCCCATGCATGAGATTTTAGGTTACCTTTGCCTGTTTGTGCTGTGGCCTGCAAGTAGGGATTAGTGTTGCTTATTAAGAATTCATACAAATTGATTGGTGGTCAAACAGGGGATCTGAAATTTTCCAATGCAGTTAGGGCTTTGTTATATTACTGACAAAAATCGTGCAGAAGTAACGAACAGTAATATCTAGCATAAGAATTATTACATCTGCATATGTATTTCAAATTATGCATGTAATTATCTTATTACAGTTCATTGTATAATATAGAAACACAGTCTTAATATGTGGTGACATATTATCTTCTTGTTTTATAATTGTCTTGCTCCTTCACTAGATGCCTTTCAAGGAAAATCACCTTTTTGTTAGGAAAAAAATAATAAAAATCCCTATTGAGAGAAGTAATCCATTCACAAGGAGGGCTCAGCATTCATGGCCAATCATCTTGTTGGGGTTCACTTCCCACAGTTGGATTGAGGGTAAAGTATAGCACATAGCTTTGAAGATGCATTCAAATAATGGCATATGGTTATCCCTTTGGGGACAGCCCTGATTGATGCCTGTTGTCTTTGCTTATGGTTAGCATCCCTTTAACCTCCTTGTATGCCCAGGTTAAACAACAAGCTACATGGTCATCTCCTCACGGTTTCTGCACCTTTTGTGTTAGTTTCTCCAGTTTGCTCTAATGCACGTGGATTTCCTCTATTGCTGCCATGCTTGGCATTGCTCATGAGTGGTTGTTTCTGGTAATTTATTTCTGTGCTTTATTGACAATGTTTGACATTTAGTTCTGCCTCACTCCTCTTCACGTAAGATTCCCTTGAGGAAATTAAGTGAACCTGTGCCCTGTTCATTAATAGGGTCAACAGCAGGGATAGAGGCTTACACCAGTGCTCTTTGGAGCATCATCTAGTTTGTCTCTCTCTCTCTTTAAATCTTTTTTTCATCTCTTTCTCACATCCTTTCTTCACCTCTTTTCAAAGCAACATTTGACTAATCTTCAGTTTCTATCTTAACGTCTTTCTAGCAGTTATTTTATCCTGGGCCCAATTTAAAGGTGTGACTCTGATGTCACTTTCATGCTGAAATACTCTTTATCAAATTGTCTTTTCTCAGTTTACTGATTTTACTTCCTCATGGGACCACTGAAAATAAAATTGTAACTTTGTAAAACTGTATTCTTTCCAGAGTTCTTACAACTTTTATTCAGTGAATGCATTGTATAATTCTGTCTTCCTTGTTCTAACGTTCTGATTAAGCTTTTATCAAGAAAATTTAGAGACAAGTTGCTGAATTTCCCAAGGTTTTCATCAAAAAATTTTTAAAATGGGAAATTAAAGTTTTTAAAGTGTTATCAGGGGTTAGTTAAAATCATCTTCATTTTTGATTCCTACTAATATTCTTTTGTGTTTTTGTTATGAAGTCAAGCCTAGGTGATAATGTATTAAATTACTTAACAAATGTCTTATAATGTCTTAAATTACTTAATAAATGTCTTACAATAATATTCTCCTAGTTGTGGTTTAAAATACGTAAGTTCAATACAAAGAAATTTTATTTTCATTTTAAAACACGTATTTTTAAATACATACATTTTAAGTATTTTTAACTAGTTAAAATGATTTAACTTGAAAAGAGCTGAATGTTTGTTGAAGAAATTTTATGACACACTCTCAATATAAAAATTTTGCTTAGAGTGTCATAGTATTATAAAGAGCCAGTGAAACAACTACTGTGAAAACATTCGAAATGGGTCATGTATAATAGTGCTATTGCAATGTTGCTGCTATTTCCTGAGGTTATTACTCCTACTAGGTTTTGACAGAATCCCATATGTCAAGATTACAATTCTGTAGTGTAATTAATTATGTAATATCAACTTCTCAGAGCAGTGTTTCAGCAGTCATAATACGGACTATTGCATGCCTGAATCTATTTAAATATTAGCCATTCATGACATTTTTTTGTATATAATTTGTTGCTTTAAGAAGAAAAAATAGAAAACCAAGGCTTTGTAAAGAATTCTGTGGTTACAATAAAAAAAGAGAGAGATTGCAGTTTCTATGGAGTCTGGATTCATGCATCAAAAATGAAGTATTTAAGTAGATTTTTGTCAGCTAACAAATACCATTTCATTCTGAGCATTTCACCTCCTCATTTTATGCCATCTGTCTCACAGGGAACAATTAATCTGCAATTCCAAAATGCAGCATTAAAATTCCATTAACAGTGGAGCAGAATATTAACATGTCTGGCACTGCCATTTTTGTCTCCCCAAATTCCAGTGTTAAATTTTGAATAAAGCAGGTATAACATTATAAATCATAAATAGGTAAAACATTTTAGTCTATTCTGTTTATTGATAACGTTGAATAAAATATATAATTAGCAGCTCAAATTAGGTACTACTACACAGAATTCAGTTTAATAATGCTATATGTTTTGGCAATTCAGACATAGATGGGCTACAGTTTTATATTAGTCTAGTGGTTATGTGTAAAGATTCTAAATGTTTGACAAATTCACTTTCTTCAACGCTTTGACTTTCTCATTCCTTTTCTCTTTTACAGAACCACATCACCGCCTTTGCGGAAGTCACATGATATTGAAGCAGATGGTTTTTCCCTGCATTGGACATCATCTCTTTTTACCATCCATTCATAACACCCAAAGTTTGTTTGATTTTAAAAGGAGTTTATAAAGTTGTCTAATAATTTTTATAATTTTAGAATTAATGTCAGTGTATCTGTTTCCCCCACTAGACTGTGAGCTCCTCGAGGGCAGGACTGTGTCTTTATTTTCTGTATCCCCAACACCTGCAACAAAACCTAGCACAAAGTAGGTGTTCAATAAAATGAGATGCTCAAAGGAACAAATTAATTCTTAAATAAAATGTTCACTTTAATTTTTCAGAAATTTCTGAGACTGTAAAAAACTAAAACTTCAACATGAGTCGTATTTGTATTAGAAAAACCACTATTTTGGGCTAACTTTTTAATTTTTCATATTATCTGTTCAGTTGCATATCCTATTTAATTTGAAGTGGACTTTGAAAGTCATGGGGGTTTTATTTTATTCAGCATGACATTATTCCCATTCTAACAGATTTCAGTATGTGAAATTACTTTTAAAAACTATGTCTTATACTACTAAAATAATGTTTGCACATTATATTATGCTGTATGTCACTTAAAATAGCATTCATACTATACATTCTAAGACTGGTGCTTCTGCTTTTGAAGGGGAAAATGCCAATTTTTACTGTAATAAGTAATGTATCATAATTAAAAATTATTTATTTGGAGTTTTTCTCCTGATAGTTGTGGTTTAATTGTTGATTTATAGTTTTTGAATGCTGGCAGTATTTAGAATCAATTAAATGAGAAATCCAGCCAATTAAGGAATAATTTCCCATTGATAACAGTGTCTAGAGCATAGTTCGTAGGCCCCATTCATAGACAATTTTTACTGGGTCAGATTTTGCATTACTTAAATGGGAAAGAACCACCCACAGCACACAACTTAAATTAGATAACTGCTATTAATATCATTAATATATTTGACTTTTCATTTGTGCAGTCCTTTATAGTATGAAATGAATTTGCTCTATGGTTTTATTTAATCCTCACAACAGCCCTATGTAGATATTACAAGTATGACCTTGTTTCATAGATGAGAAAAATGAAGCCAGGATGGGGTAAGCAGTGTGCCTGACCCTACATAATGAGTAAAAGGCAGCATTAAACTAAATTTAGATTTTTATGTCCCCAAGCATGTAGTCCTTTCCAACATGCACTTTTTGGATACCAAGGCCTTTGAGAATCATTAAGTCCTACCTGTATTTCAACAAATGCAGAAATACCAAAACAAGGTTACAAGAACCGCTATATTTTAAGTGTTTACTTTTTAAGAATGCACACTTTTTAAATATACAATGACATAGTAACCTATTTGTAATCTTGTTTGTAAATAATTAATGGGGGCTGGATAAGAGGCCCTTTATAAAAGTGAACCCTGAATCAAATGTCCTTCCTTTCGCACTCGCCTCCAGACCTCAGACTGCATTCAGGAGACCTGAGGGCTGTGATGACCATCACCATGTGGGACTCACCATAAAAGGGAAGATGGTGATCTCTTCAGCAGTCTCCCTGCCAACTTTAAAGCTAACTTAGTAACTTTGGCTTATATAAGCAGCAATCAATTGAAACAATTTTTTTTTTTAGTCTTGAAATAAAGTCAACTTTTAATTCACTAAGTGATTCAGTAGAAATCAGCATATGCATAACCAAAATGTATTGCTTCCAGAATGGGCTACTGGACCATTTCTGATGCTAAGACTCAACGTATTTACCAGGCTGAAATACAGTAAATTTATATGTCTACCAATTTCAAATATCTATAGCAGTTCAATTCGGTTAGAAATTTAGAACATGAAAAACCTTTGAATGCTTTGTACCTCTTTAAAGACTTATGTTTTAAGCAATTACAGCAATGGGGGAAATTAGTCATTGGCCATGGAAGTGAGGGGGAAGTTCATAATGCTTTAGGAGGCTGAATCACCAGTAAGGTTTCTAGAGTTTGATCAGTTCTACCGGTTAGACATCAACTTTCTAAGGCTCCAAGCAGAAATATTTTTCTGTTGGAAGCCTTAGCTATAAATTAGTATGTCAGTGTTGTATCTTTGTACCTTGTGCTAAACCAGGTTTGAATACAGGAATTTAAAATTCTTCAAAAAGACTATCTCTAGATTTAACCTAAACCAGAATAAGATCATTCTAATGCTTAGACATCTTGGATCCAAGATCGTTCAATGAATGATTCTATCCTAAAGAAAACTAGGAAAAAAAAGAAGATGCATGCAAAGCAAAAGCCAGCCAAACAAACCTTCTAACCATGATTCTACTACTAAGAATAATGAGAAACACATTTAACAAAAATATATACATATATATTTTTATACATATATATGTATACACGCCTATATGAACGGCAGGTGAACATACCTTTCTGATAAAGACGTATCCTTTTTATTCTACTTACTTGGGGCCCAGGTCGGTATAAATGGATCAACCTGAAAATTTCGGTAGTGTCTGTTTGCACGGCAGAAATTCTGCACATGTTTTATCTGATTCCTAAAATAATTTGAAAGGTTCTTTTATTTTAAAAGAGAGGTGAACCTTCTGTGACAGACTTTGTCCTTCCTACTTCTAACTGGGCCTCTCTTTTCTCAGGATATAGCTAGCCAAGTATCTCAGTTACATTTATCATACAGTTTCCTTTGTGAAAGAGCAGTAGGGAGGGGAATAATTCTCTGCTGTGTATTGTATTTTTCAAATAAAATTTTAAAAATTAAAATAAAAATGACTTTTTATTTATGTGTTGGTCTGGATTGGGGATGGAGGAATAAAAGATGCTTTTCTGTTTTTACATGCAAGTTGTATTTTATTAGAAACAGTCACCAGAGATACGCCTGCCACATTTGCCCCCACTACCAATTCTTCTCCACTCCCCAGAAGTAGCCCTCAACATCCTTTAAAAGCTACAATTTCTAAAATAAATGTTATCTTACATCTATGTCTTTGAAAACCTACATTTTAAAAAAGCATGTGACTTGGGGCTGGGGACTTAGCTCAGCGGCATAAGCGCCTGCCGTGCAAGCAGGCAGTCATGAGTTCGATCCCCAGTACCGATAAAAAGGGAAAAAGACAAAAAAAAAAAAAAAAAAAAAGCGTGTGACTTGAAAGCCTTTCTAATTGTGCGTTATTCCCCATGTTCTGCGTGGATGCGGGGCATCTGATTTAGCCAGCACCAGTTTTTGGTGGCTTCTGACTTTTGACCTTGTAGCAGCACTCCATGAACACACTCTGAAGCGTGCAGGGAATTCTGGATGAATTTGGTCAGATTCACTCCTTTCCACCCAAACCAGAACTAGTCAACATTCACACACTGTTGACAATAAAATTTTCTCCTTTTGCTTAAAAATAGCATTACTGTTCTTTTTAATTTTTGTTCATCTAATGACAGGAAATTGTATCATTGCTGTTTTAATTTTATATTCTTGATTGGAAAATATACTTTCATGCATTTTTTAAAACATGCATATTTTTGCCAGGTGTAGTGATGCGTATCTGTAATCTAGCACTTGGGAGACTGACACAAGAGGATTGCTAAGAGTTCAAGGCTAGCCTCACCAACTAGTGAGTTCAAGGCCAGCACAAACTACAAAAAAGGCCCTGTCTCAGAAAAAAGTAACCTTTTCTTTATTAAGTCTTTTATTCATGCGTTTTACATATTTTTTCTTTGAAGTTGCTTATCTTTACCTTTTGGAATATTAAGCCTTTGTCTATTGTTTGCAAATATTTTCTCCTCTGAGCCACTTTTAAAAATGCGTAGAATTGTGAGTAACAGTACCATAAAGGCTTTTAATATTAGTGAATTAAATCAGAGTATATTTTCTTAATGGCTTTTTCTTTTCGCCTTCATTTTCTTATTATAATATATATAATATAAAACTTCGATAAATTTATAAGTCTGTAATCCACTTCAAATTTCTTTTTATATATGATATGAAGTAGGGAGCTTACTGTATTAGTAATTGGAGAATCAATTTTGTTAGTATTTCTTTTTTAATTAATTTCATCAGTATAATTTGATATCTGTAGCAATCATATTCATAATCAGGAGTCTGTACTTATATGGAATAAAGCTTAAATTTTCCTCTCCATTCTCCTCTTTCTTTCCTTCATTCCTTCCCTTCTCCCTTTACAAAATTTTGTTTCCACTGCTTTCCTTCTTTTTTATTTTTACCTCTATTCCCTCCTTTCTATCTCTCTTCCCTTGTCCCTTGTTCCTCTTGAACATTTTCTTATTACTTTCCAATATCTGTGATCTTTTTGATTCTTAGTTACCCTTTGGATTTATTGTACAAGAGAAAGATTGTATTATTTAAACATGTGTGTCTGATTTATTTCATAAGAGTCCATCATTGTATGCCTAATTTGAATTTCTACATTTATAATAATGAAATTCCAATTTATTTTCAAGTGCATAAACTTGAATCCTCTATTATTTTTCTTTTAATGTATTTAAGTGTCCCTGTGTTAATGCTCTGCTCCTTAAATCAGCTTTTCATTAAGTTTTCTTCAGTGGTAGCAAAAGCTGTCCTCTTCCTCTGAACAAAATATTCATTGTTTTACATATAAACTTTGAAATCAGCTTGTCAAGTTCCAATAAAAATACTGTGGGTGTTTGATTGGAATGAAATATCCAGATTAATCTGGGGAAAGTTATGATTTCAATGTTACTGGGATCGTATTGAAATGTTTCTCCATTAGATCAGCAATTCTATGTCCTTTCAGTACTTTCATGGACTTATTCATAGAGATCTAGAAAAATATTAAATTTATTTCTAAGAAACTTGTAATTTTTGGTTACATGGTGAATTATATCTTCTCATATTTTTGGCTAATTCTAAGTCTCAGATTTTAAGGATATTAAGTTTTTTTTAACTGTGATTTTTATTCTTTATCAAAGTTCCTCTCTGGTTTTTATTGTCGTTGTGCTGGCAAGCAAACCCAGCACCTCACACATTCTTAATACATAACTGTCTCCACTGAGCTACATTCTCAGACTCTATAACTGTCTTTTTAAAGTTAGTATGTGTTTTCAGTACTTAAAGTTTACATATTAGAGAGCTGGTACATTTATGTAATACAACTTGTTTCTTTTCTTTAATCTTGTTCCCCTTCCCACCAACCTCTCTTTGCCCTTAAATTCCTTAGTCGAATTTTCATTCTTTTTTTAAATTTTAAAACCCAGCAAAACAAAACAGAATAAAAACAATCAAAACAAAGCAGTGCAATTAGTACAGAGCTTTGAAGTAGGATAACAGGAAACCAACAATGGCTTCTATCTTGCTATCTTCACTATATTGTCCCTTCCATCAGACATAGCACAATAAAAAAGAATAAAACCAATCAAAATAAAATATTGGATAAGGCAAACCAATAAATCAGAACAAATCAAAGCAGTGAGAACACTTTAATACTGGATTTCAAAATCCAGTATTTACGACATTATTTGTCGTAAACGTGAGTTAAAACAAGATAGAAATCCCCCATATTTGCTATATTACGTACTGTCACCCTCCCAATAGATGCTCAGACCACTGGCCCCAGGCCTGCAAAAATCAACCAAACTGTAGCTTAGTTACTATCAACTCAGCCTACCCAGTCAGTTGCCTACAGGAGGGAGTGGAGGACAGTTCTTGATTCTCAGCCCATCTACTGGTAAGCCTACAGGAGG